AAATATTCGACGGAATTCGTGTGGCCTAAGTTAATGATAGCTGAGTATTTTGAGGATATAACGACGCGCATTTTAGGTAGTATCTACCGAGAAAAAGAGGAAGAGCTGTACGGTACCTTTTTCGCGAGTAACGGCCAAAAGTGTATAAACTTGGTATACACTTTTTATACCGATGAAATGGTGCCCTAAAATATTTATATATAGCGTTAGTTCAATTTTTTAATAAGATGTTAACAAATCAAGTTGAAGACGCGCTCGTGCAAGGCTGACAGTGTCAGTTAATTTCGCGATATCCCCTAAAAACAGTTATCATTATATATACAATAATGCACCCAGCATAATACAATTTGTCTGTACATATTACTTACATATTATGCATAATGTTAACAATGTAGGTATATATTTAATGACACTATATATTTAGATTAGTTTTCGTAGATCGTAAAAGACCTAGTAGAATACATAGGTAAGTGAGCTAGCAATGTGTTGTGTTGTTTTTTTTTTTTCGACATATAAAAAGAGGCAAAAGAGAGTCGCGTAATTCTCTATATTTTATATTTCACTGTAAAAGGGCAGATTATTTATAATAAAGGGTAAATGTTGAAATTTGAAAATTTGAGTTTTATTTTGGGAATTTTCGTAAGTTGTATATTACTATTTACTTTTTTCTTTCGCAGAAGACGACGCGTGATCGATGTACGCTCGTCAAACGCGTCCTTTTTTTAACGTCCAGTTTTATTTAAGAATGATTTATTTATATGAGAGTCGATATACTGTAACGGGGCAGACAGGACAGACCAATTACGATACGTTTTATTCTCTTTGATGCTTTAACTAATAATGCAATACACTTTAGTTCTACGGAAAAGCGCGAGGAGTCACGGTGACAATATTTTACTTGTTATATATTTTTCTTATATCTTTTTTTCCTTAAATCGAGTTTTCTTCGATCCAAAAACTTGATTCGCTCATAACATTCATTCAAGTACAAAATTTACTAGTACGGTAAAAAGTGTGTTAGAACGTGTAGAAGTAAATTAACAATACACGACGAGAGAATCTATTTTGTAACTGAAAACTGCTTTACGTTAGCTCTTTTAGTTTAGTTCGCGAAACACTGTTTATTTGATCATTGATGAAAAATGCTGCGTTTCTCCTTTACTTCGAGCGATAGAGTTGCGTTGAATGTTGCAAACTGCGCGTTAACGACGTCCTTAGCGCAATGTACTAGTGATTTGGTGTATTGTAATCATGTAATTGAAAGTGATCATGATGATCACTCTCGTCTAAAATCTGCTTAGAGGTCGTTTGGTTTCAGCATCAATTCATGCGCACGCATGTAATTAAAATTATATATATATATATATATATTGTATTTTATATGTAATTGAAATTATATATATTATATATATTATATATATATAGCGTATAAAGAAATTTCTCAGATTTCGATGGTGCGATTATTAGGTGTACATAAGTATGTTACTTGTTACAACGTACGAGATGAAGCCAGGTTCAAATTTCATTGTAAGTTAATTTACCTTTTGTTTGTAATATAACGTATTGTTTATCTATTTTTCGGTCGCAGACCTTCCAAATCGCGAAGAGCAGGCGGCTGTGGATGTTCAGAGGAACAACGAAGAGTTAATTACTTCGTTAGCGTTGTGTATTTAAGATTATGCAGGGCTAAGAGTCATAATTATTCACTTTCCGTATGTGCTCATCTGGCCGCATCGCTCGACACTATAATTATAGTACAATTAGATAATAATGTTCGTTAGAAACTCGTGACACTTATAACTATGTTACACGTTAAAGTGATGTTGCATCCAGCGACGACTAGAATCGATTAAGGACGGAAGAATGTGTCGTGAAATTCATTTAGCGAACAGCTTAAGTTTTATTGGCGAATGTAAATCCTAATTTATTTTACGAGAAACGCAAAAGCATTTTCATAGTGAATTAAGTGTGATCTCCTGATTGTGAATTATGTAACTATGGACGCGGTCCACTCCGAAATGTCTGCACCAAGGTATTAACTCGGCTATTTTAGTATACGATTAATGATTACATTATCAAATATCATTCTGCGAAAAGTGAGACTAGCAAATAAAAGAAATAGAAATTAATGAAAATTAATGGCAGAATTTTGGTGATGAATTTTGCTGGATATTATTAGTCAAAATTTCTCGTGAAAATTTTTGTATAAACTCTGAAGTAAAAAGAAAAAAAAAAGGAAATTGGACGATGTCGCGTTATTCGCGACGGAATTAAATCTACATGTAAAGAGAGATGTAAATGTCTGGAAGCCCAGAAGTCCAAGTGGACCGCGTCTGCCGTGTAATCCGATTAGGATTCTGTCTGTGAACGAAGATGCAAATATGCAGTGCGGGGTTTTTAACATATGCATAGAAAGAGAAGAGCAAGATGCGATTTTAATCCTGTATTGTCGATTTTAAAAAGCGAATATCAAAGTTCAGAGATCTGTGATTAGGAAATACGGTGGAAAACTGAATTACAATAATCGCACGTTTCCCACGGGAGTATTCCAGAAATGGAATGCTTACAGAAATGGAATGCTTACAGATCTCCCGTGGGAAATGAGCGAGAGAAGAAAAACTTCTTCATTTCTCCTTTTTTATATATACATAAATATAAATATATTGCGTTCGGCGTAAATTTCAAAGTATAAACAAACGTGTATTTTTGGCATTTGATATTTACTTTGTACTTTAGCTGATATTTTGTAATAAGAAGAAGGAATATATGTGTACACTACTGTAAGTTATAAATTGCCGCGCGGATGGCGTGACATCAGACGCGGAGAGATAGAAAAGTTGTACAGCTTGTGTTCGCCATCCGCCATCCGATGAAACATGTAAATATTTT